CGATAATTGAGATTGACACGTATCCATATCTCATTATTGATTGGATCATATTGACGAAAGGATTATAATTTCACGGTAAACGAACAAGTTTGGTTTGTCACATCACGTGACATTTCTCATCACATGTATTGCCCGACACATTGCTAGATGTCAATTTGGGACGACGAATGTGAATTAGTCATAAATTAAAAGGGGTGTTTTAATTTATCGATTTTGATAAGATCAAAATAATAATTAACGTCGTTAGGTATCGTGATTGGGAACCTAATGGGTCACATACAAAAGAGAACCAGAAGAATGAAATTTACCAATTAATTAATTGACAAGTGTTGGACAATTAATTAATTGAGTTGCTTATTAATCGGCCCGAATTAATTAATTGGATTAATTAATTCATGGACCGTATTTAATTAATTTGATTAATTAAATATCGGACCAGGTTAAGTTTAGAGATGGGTCAACCCATTTGGGCTTATATTAATAGGCTGCTAGAGTTTGTAAATTGTAGAGAATTTTCATTATTCTTGCTAGCACAAAAAAAGAAAAACCCTAGCAGTCATTCTTGTTTTCTGTGTGGATCATCATTGGAGGCTGGACAGTTTGGATTGTAAATCGTGATTATTGGAGTTCGAGAATCAGCAAAAGAGTTTGCAGAATTCATCAAAGGTATAATTCTCAACACAGTTTCTATCTAAATACATTGCAGATCCGTGGTGTAAGAATTGAAAAATTATTAATTTTCCGCTGTGCATGTTAAGTAAATTTCCAACAAAAACAACAATTCTTGATTTTGAAAGCTGATGAAGCAATGTCCTTGTTGACCATACATTCTTCTATAGTTAGAGCTCGTTACTATAGTACTGAAAACTAATTTTGAATAAATAAATGTGTCCATCGAAGATGTAGTTCATCATTTTATAGATTCAGCAAAGGTACACTGTTCACATTCCACAGGTACTATATTCTTGCATGTTTCATGGTGTGATCCACTATAACACAGAGACCTATATCCTTAAACTCTCTGGCATCAGCATGATTGTGAGCATGTGATCTTGTATGTGTAATGTTAAATTATAAGATGCTAACGGTGAAAATTAAGCAAACCATGAGGTGGTAAAAATTGTAAATTATCCAAAAGAGGTACTATCCCGATAGGTACTCGCATTGCCTTACCTGTGATTTTCGGCTGTGAAGAGTCCATCTAGATGGAGAAGGTTATATGTTCAAGGATATGTTGAGAAAGCCTCATACCTACAGAAACAAATTTAAGCGACTCAACATATGTCTTCAATCATAAAATTTACTGAAAACCTTTTTTTGCATTCTGTACTGCATTTACATGTCTCGGGAAAATTACCAGTCATGGTAAAGCAAGATTTAAATTTTTTTATATATCATTAAGCATTGGTGGGAATTAAAATCAATTTTTTAGTAGATTTAATAAAAGTTGATGAAATATGTGATTAAAAAATTATAGATCCCATAAAA